ATGAAAGCTGGCTGGGTGTCTTTGGGCCGATCACCAGGAGACAGTGAATTCTAGTCCCGCCTTAGGCATGAAAGCTGGCTGGATGTCTTTGGGCTGATCACCAGGAGACAGTGAGTTCTAGTTTGCCTTAGGCATGAAAACTGGCTGGATGTCTTTGGGCTGATCACCAGGAGACAGTGAGTTCTAGTTCCGCCTTAGGCATGAAAGCTGGGTGGGTGACTTTGGGCCAATCACCAGGAGACAGTGAGTTCTAGTTCTGCCCTAGGCATGAGAAATACAGTAGCTGCGTGACTTTGGGCCAACTACCAGGAGACAGTGAGTTCTAGCCCTTTCGTGTGTTTCAGGCATGAAAGATTACTCACTCTCAGCCCAACCCACCTCCCAGGCTTCTTGTTGTGGTGCAAACAGAAGGAGGCAGGTGTGTTCGCTGCAGGCTGCTACTGGGTTGCCGCTGTGGTCACGTAATACTCATTTTCAATGTTCTGTGACAGTTTACTCATCAGTTTCACAATCTCTTGTTCTTTCGGCACCCAGTGGCAGCCACTTACCTGCCTGCTAGGGAAGGAGGGAGAAGAAAAGAAGGAGGGAGGGAGGGAAGGAGAAATCTGATACTTCCTTCCAGATTCACACAAGGAAAACGCAATGGGGAAGCCCGCAGGAAATCAGAAGTCTTACTTTCCCTCGGCCATTCTTGTTTCTCTGTTTAAATAGGGAAGTATTTCTGAAACAATGGCCCCATCGAGTATGTGTCATCTAGTTAGTAAACTATTTCTGTAGAATGCGAAGCCATATTTTTAGATTCCACTTCCAGAAGAGTTGGAAAGAAAGTCAGCTGGCCAGTAGGACCGCTGGTGGGTGACCTCTGAAGGGCCATCCAAAGTCTAAGGCATTGTTGGAGCAGAACCCGTGGCCTTCTTTCGCTTCCTTTCTCCGCCCAAAGAATAGACTCATCATGATTAGATTAATCATCCCTGAGAAAAAGGATGTGACCAAAAGAGATGGGGGGGAGGGGGGAGAAATTTGAAGAATTGGGGTATCATTACGCGAACTTGGGAAAAGGAACGTCATCAGCACAAGAGCAATCAAGGAACTGAACAGGCACCCCCGCGTTGTTTCCTTGTCTCCCTTTCAGCATTTGTCTGACTCTTGTGTGTGCTTTGTGGTTGTTCCTCCAGAAACTTTTTGTGATCATCACCTTCAGCAGACACATAGTGGAACAGATGGTCTCCTTAATTGGGTGAGTACAACAGCTCTAAGGTCATTGATGGTTGAAAATGGCTCCACTCAAGTCTAACTTCATAGCTGTGTTCTTCAGCCTGGGCAACTTTAAGATGGGTGGACTTGAAGTCCCAGAATTCCCCAGCCAGCATGGATGGCTGGGGAATTCTGGGACTTGAAGTCTATCCGTCTTAAAGTTGCTTAGGTTAAGCAGCTTAGCTCTTTGTCAATAAGGGACAGTGCTGAACCCATGCTGAATAAAAGCTGCCGCCCCCTCTAGATGCCTTCACCTTAATTTTTAAAAGCATTTCACAATCTCTTTTAAAATGGCACACTAATAGAGGCAACCCAGTATGACTCCGGGCTGCCAGCTCTGATGATCAAGTGATGGGATATGGATTTGAACATTGGTACAGGAGCTCCAGTGGTTTTGTATTTTTATTGAGCCTCAGTGCAGTTTTAGTTGGTCTTTTGTTTGAATGAAGTTCTTTCTCTCTCTCTCTCTTTTTAAAATTTGTTCACTGCCCAGAGTTTCGTAGATGAATGGACGACCTTATAAGATGAGTGGATGGATGAGTGGGTGGATGGAGGAATGGATGGATGGATGGAGATCAGATGGATGACTGGATGGATGGACAAAGTAGGATGGATGGAGAAAGAACTAGATTGGATGGATGGATGGATGGATGGATGGAAAGAGAGGATGACTGGATGGATGGATGGACAAAGAAGGATGGATAGAGAAAGAGCTAGATTGGATGGATGGATGGATGGATGGAGAGAGAGAGTTCAGATGGATGACTGGATGGATAGATGGATGGATGGATGGAGACAGAGAGAGAGATATCGGATGGATGGGTGGATGGGCAGATGGATAGACAGATAGATTAAACAAGCTTGAGGACTAAAGCTCCACAGTATCCCACATTCTATTTTGGCACCCCTGATCCTCCCCCCAATTGCTGAAAATTATGACTTCTCAGAAAACTGAGCTCCAACTTAGATTACACTTTTATAAAAAAAAATCTTGAACCTTTTCCCTGAACTTTGAAAATTGGGGAGGGGGGGGTTCCCCCCACAAGGGAATCCAAAACTCCTCCCTCTGTTGGTGCAGGTCCTTGCTTTCCCTGAATTCAGTCCATGATATTCTTTCTTTCTTTCTTTCTTTCTTTCTTTCTTTCTTTCTTTCTTTC